GAACAAGTTTTAAAACAAATTTCCTACGGTTACATTCCTCTAAACCCCCACTATCCATTGTACATTATGTTTGTTGTCTAGAGTAATAAACGGGTTTTGTATTAGCTCCCATTACAGATAGCAGTTTTGTCAAATTGCACTCTAATCCCCTCTCCTCCTGTCTTGAAACTTTTTGGTTCTTGTTTAGAAATTACCTGTAAAATCAAGTTTTTGATTTTAATATATGTATTCTCTGAACAATCGCAGAAGTCAATGGCTTGTGCTAAGGTATACTCATATACCTAGCAATACATCCCCCCTAGAATTTTTACAAATTCTATATTAAGGGAGGCCATTTTTGACTCTTTCTTAAGACTAGTCTTAGACCCACGTGCCTTAGAGGTACATCTGTAGACAAGCCCGTCTATATACGTGGTAGCATTTACAATTATCATTCTACCTTTACATTTAATACATACATTTTCTTTTCTGATTATATTGTCTTCTAAAACAAATCTATTGCCTTTTCATTGTTTATAAAAAAGTCTTCGTTAAATTTCATATTATTGCTTAACATTCTTGGGTTTAATAAAATATAACATCCCCGCACCAGACGGTTGGTCTCATCACTTTAACAATTCTCCCGTGCCTATTCCTTTTAAATCATAGTGTCTCTTTTTAACATATATTCTATTCTCAAGCTTAACAACATATGAGTCTTTTAGACCTACTTTTGTTATTTATCCCAGATCTAAAAATCTTCCCTTACTATACTTACTACATCCATTTAAATCTTCATTCTTCGCTACTCTTACTTTTGTCCTTTTGTAAATTTTTCATTAACCATTTTAAAATCTTCTGGCATACTCTCTTTCTGAACTATTATCTATCATCACTACTCCCGTTTTATCCTTAACCGCTTCCATCGGATTACACTTTATACCTACATGATAACTATAGTTATACTTCTCAATTGTCTCGTAAACTTTCTCTTCAAATTTTTTTCTACAACTTTTTAAAATACTATCTCTCATCGTTCTTATGATTCTTTCAATTCTTCCATTGCTCTTGTGTAATTCTATGCTTACTTTTTGGTGATTTATGTTTTATTGGTTGCATGGGTGCTTCATTTTTCTGTTACAGAATTATTTACCATTATCTGTTATAAGACCTTCTGGGTTTTCCCCCAGTGTGCACAATTCCCTTAAAAATTCGACAATTTCCAAATCCTTCTTATTCTCCAGTACTTTTTCCCACATTCTTGTTGTAAAAATAATCTACGGCGACCACCACTACACACTTTTTTTCTCTAAATTCGATCATATCCATGCTTACTTTTTCCAGATACCTACTGGTTGCTATAAATATACTATCTCTGCTCGTCTTTCTATTATATTTTTGGCAAATCTCACCTCCTTTAATAACTTGATAAATATGGTCTTTAATACCCGGCCAACAATACTTCTTTCTAAGTTCGTAGTAAACTGTTGTCCTACATTTGTGACTCAATTCCACTCGACAATCATATATCAGCTTTTCTCGTTTATCTTCTGCTGGAATTTCCGTTTCTTTACCATTATCGAAAACCCAGATTTTCTTGACATCTACTTCTTTAATATGCTTACTATTCTTTCTTTCCATCTGTTTATCTCTCCTAGATTCAATCATTTTCTTTTTCTCACTCTCCTCTGCTGTATAAATTCGACTTAATGAATCAGCAACAACCGTTTATTCATCGGTCCTATAGTCTATTTCAAAGTCAAACTCTCGTATCTTCTCAACCTATCTGTTTATTCTTGCGTTATCAAAGTTTGGTTTATTTATAATCTCCGCAGGCGATTTATTGTCGGTCTCTATTTTGAATCTTCTTCCTCGTAACTCATATTCAAACTTCTTAACCGCCCAAAATATGGCGTACATTTTTTTTCGGGTATAGGATATTGTAATTCTGTCGGTATAAACTTTTTAGAGGCCCACTGTACGAAAACCAATTCATTCTTTCAGTTCTTCTGCAACAAAACTGCACCCATTCCCATTGCGCTAGCATCTGTTTTTAACAGGAACTCTTTCTCGTAGTTAACAATTTGTAGTTTTCCCATATTACTCAATGTTTTCTTCATTGTTAAAAACTCTTTCTCCATCTTATCTGTTCACTTCCAATCTTTCCCTCCGCCTTTCAAACTGTTCGTTAAGTTTAATGTTTTTGCCGCCCAATTATTTATAAAATCCCCAAACCATCATGTCAGCCCCAAAACCTTCTTATATCAGAAACTCCTGTCGGCGTTGGGAACTCTAAGGTTTCATTCTTTTTTATTTCTGGTGGCATAATATCCACTCCATTCAACGTAACTCACAGTAGTTTCACCTTCTTCTCACAAAGCTGTATCTTATAAAATTAGCTTTATTATCTTTCAATCTTTTTAATACCCCTCTAAACAACCCGTCATGCTCTTTGACACTGCTACTGTATATAACAATATCATCCATATATATATATATATCTCTACTCCTTTTCCTTTCAAATCTCTAAATATATCATCCATGTTTCTCTGCAAAATTTGGGGTGTGTTCTTATAGCCCATGATCATTGAATTCCATTCGTACACCCGTCCGTTAAACTCAAATGCTGTTTTGTATTTATCCTCCTCCGTAATCTCTATGCTATAAAATCCATCTTTTAAATCTACTACTGACATAGCCTTCGTTCCTTGCGTCGCCCCAATAACATCTCTTATATTTGACAGCCTATAGTTATCTTTTTTTCCACTATATCCTTTAAAGCCCCAGATTGCTTACTAGTCGTATACTTCCATTAGGTTTTCTTAATGCCCTTACCGAGGTTCTCCATGTCGAAGATGATTTTCTTATAATACCTCTTTCTTCTAAATTTTCCAAATGTTTCACGGTATCTTTAATTAGTGCCTGCGAGATCACCTGCCCTTTCTTAAAAATTTCTTTTCCTTTCTCTGTTGTTATTTTACACTTTTCTATCTTACAATATTTAATCTTAGACTTGTCATCCGTTAACATCTCTTTAAATTCCTTCATATAATCTTCTATCTTAAGCTTCCTTCTTTTTCCTTCAGTTGTATTTTCAAACCTTTTCTGTGGGATCACAACTTTAATTCATCATTTATAGGTCTTTTTATATCCTCTCTCGTAAATAGTTGCAGAATCAGTGTCATTTTCACCACTAAAATTAAAATACTTCAAATCATTTTTATTATTATAATTATAGCCTTCTTTGGCCTTTCTTAAAAAGCAATTCCTTGTAACATGTCCTGGTTTATCACAATAAAAACACTTCACTACTGCACCTCTTCCTTCTCTTTTATACATACTCATAACTCCCCTAACCGTACTCAATACCTTCTCTGTCAGACCTTGATATTCTTTAGCTCTTATTTCTTTTTCTTCTCTAACTCTCAAAAGCAACATTTTTCTCAACTCTTCAATATTTTTTTCTTTACTTAAATTTCGGACCATAAAAATTTTTAAACTCCCACTTGCTCTATCAAAAACCTCTTTATTCCAATGTTCCTTCTCTACGTTTTCTAAATCCAAAGCATACATCAAAATCTCTAGCTCTTCCGATACTCTTTTGGCCTCTTGGTTACAGTAATCACTTGATAACTTTACTGTTCGTATCGCCCCCATATTAGTGCTTAACATAATTAGGGTTTAATAAAATAATAAAAAATAAACAATATAATAAACTTTTATAATGATAATTTTCTTTTTAAAATTAGAGTAAAAAGAGAAAACCTAGCTGAATGCAAAATCTACTCACTTTTTTATTATATAGTTGCACAGAAATAAACTTATTATAAGTAAATGTAAAAGAAAATGCAGAATAAATCAATTGATAGACGACAAAATTAATTTTAAAGATTACAGTAGTTTGCAAAATTATGCAGCAGAACATTCTTACATAAATATTAATACACCTTCAAATGATGGTACTTATCTATTAATACATTAAATTAAAATAATATGTTTAAGGAGTAATATACCTAGACAGAAAACAACACTTTTAAACAGAAAAATAGGGTCTTCTCCACGAATTTTCCTACCTTTAAGAAATGTAAAACAAGGGTTAAAAAAATATTATTAACAATTTAATTAAAAAAAAGTCTTTAAAATATCAATATATATTTTAGAAAATTCTTTATCGCCTTTACCCAAAAAACCTTAGCTTAAATGTATACTGAATTAACCAGGCATCGATATGGTCACGAAAAACGCCATTTCATTCTTCATAGTACTTTTCATATGGTCCCCAAACCCTTCTATTTTGTTTGTATGGGTGCCATCTTCTGACCCAAAACCTTCAAAATCATTAACTATATGATGCCTAAAATTCAAATTTCTTGCAACAAACGGATATGGCGGGTGTCCATCGGTAAATAGAATGCTATCATTGTTGATATTAGGCATCATAGCCGCAGTTAATGGTTCTATAGTACGAACAATATCTCTATAAAGAAAAAATTTCTTTTTTCTGTTTGGTCTATTCCACCCAATATCCAAATTGTATTTTCAGTATCATCGGCGCTTGTAGGATTTCTAATAATCCCTTTACGTGACAAAATGCTTTTATAAGCCTCAACAATTATACAACATCCTCCCGACACAACAGACCTTTTTTCAAAGCAGTCTTTGTAACAAATTAAAAGTAAAGACTTATATTTTGCAATAGTAGTATCAGATATTCCAAAATATCGACAACTGAAAGTAATTTGTGCCACACATTAAGCAATACAATAATCTTGCTGCTTTTGTTAAGGGCAGAGTAAAATGAAACAAAAAAAGATGTTTGTAGTACCTTTTCTTTGTCATCTTTAACCTATACTTCCGCTGCTTATAGAAATTGGTAACAACCTAGACAAATCGCCACATCTAAAACACGAAATGGAGGAGCTTATAATATTATTGCTTATAAGAAAGTTTTTTAGCATATCCAAATACTGAAAAATTTCATGTTCTATTGTAATATTCATAAGGGTTATCTTTAAAATTAAATCTTTTGCCCTTCTAAAAGGAATCATTAATATTTTATTTAAATAATTTAGTGGCAATTTAGTTTTATATGTGCTTTTGTTATTATATTAAAACAACTTTTTGTATTTATAAATACAGATATATATAGTAGTCTTGGGTTGGGTAGTATTAGATTTGGTCGGGTTAGGTTAGGTAGTATTAGATTGGTTGGTTAGGATAAATAGCTGTATGAGATGATTGATGGTTAGATTCCTGGGTTATGTAGTTTGGTAAAATGGTATTGAGGCAGTAATATTAGATTAGTAGTATTGAAGTTTTAGTATTGGGTTGGTGTTATTTTTAAGGATAAAAACAACAACATCGGTTTTTTAAAATGCTCTTGATTTATACAAAAATATCGGGTGGTTGCTTAACTTCACGAATTTGCCTACCAGTTTGCTGTGGCTATTGGTTTCTTGAATTATTATCTTTTTTTTTATTTTTTAGCCCCTATTTTTAGGTTGAAAAAAAGATAGGCAAATTCGTGGAGAAGACCCGGTGTTTGGGTAGTAGAGGCAGTAGAAAGATTCTCTAGAAGAATTATTCTAGCAAATGTTGACAAAGTGTGACAGTTCTACCCCACTTTATTCTGTAGAAAATATATTTGTAGGCAATCATTTATATTCAGTAAATGTTGGAAAGGTTATGTCGAGCTAACCAATTTTTTTAAAGAGCATAGAACTGTCAACCATTCTAAAAGTTTAAAAATAAGGCAACAAATACACATACCAACACAATTGAAGGTAACTGGAATGGTAGAAAGAAAACCATTCCCGTAAGATGTAGAACTAAGAAATTAATTGATATAAATCTTTTAAAATTTATGTTAAAAAGGAATAAAGGGAAAAAAGATGAAAATTATAGAGCTGGGAACCTTTAAAGGCCTTCTTTAAGGGAATTTGATTTTTTTTAACCCCCAAGTTTTATGAACACAATAAAGAGACAGGAAGAAAAATTTAAAAAAATTTTGAATATTTTTGAAGACGAAGTGCATAAAAAGCCGTCTAAATTTTTTTGTTTTTATTGTTTAGGGGGATACAGTTGGACATGAAGTAATAAAAATGTTATTAAGTGCACAAAAAAAAAGTGCAGAAGAAAGGCTTTTCTTTTTAGAAAACCCCCGTTTTATAATGCAAAATTATGCTGGAAAATAATTTGCAGAGCTATTTTTAATTCTATGTACAAATTCTGTCAAAACCATATGTTCAATAACTAATATTAACATAAGGCAGTCAGAAAAATATTTAAAAAAGTCGGACACTATTTAAAAAGACCTCAGATGATAGGCGGAGAAGGCATCGTCGTCGAAATTGACGAAAGCAAATTTGGCAAACGGAAATATAGCCGTGGTCATAGAGTTGACAGCGTTTGGGTACTTGGAATGGTTGAGAGAACATTTGAACGACGCATTGTTCTACTTCGTTTAAAAAAACGAGATAAATTAACTCTTTATACTTTAATTATCAAATACGTTGCCAAAGGAAGTATTATATATACTAATAAATAGAAAGGTTATAGTGGGTTAACATCTCGTGGATACAAACATTATACAATTAACCATAGTAAAAGCTTTAAAGATCCAGAGACCGGCATTCACACGAATACTATTAAAGGAAGTCGGTGTGCTATAAAGGGAAAAATTACTTTGAGAAAGAGAAATTATACATTAATCAAACCTTACTTTAAAATCTTTATGTTTTCAAGACTGTTTGGTGAAATAAGATTTAGAACTTTTATCAGACTATTATTAAATATTTAAATAACAAATTTTTATTTTCAAGAACCCCTTTAAATTTTTTTTCATGAAAATTGGGGGTTAAAAAAAATCAAACGCCCCCAAAAGGGGGCCTTTAAATGTTTATTAAATTTAAAATTTAAATATAAATTAAATTTTTACCCCCTCCCCCCCCCCAAAAAAAAAGGAAGAAGAAATAGATACAGATGAATGTTACGATGGAATAACCTTGAGTGGGGTGGCCGTAACGAAACTGTTGCTCTAATATGGAGCAAACAACATGTTTCTTTTTATAGAATTTATTCGTTGATTGTTTATTGTCTCTCTTTAAAGAACTTTTTTCTTCTCTATAAAATACCATGACCTTCTTTTCCTGCTTTTTTTTATAAAAAAATATTAATAATTAAATGTGGTGGGATACCACAGACGAACACAAGAGGCGATCAACAAAATAACAAGTTGTCAACCCAAAAAGTTTATTAATAAATAATTTATCAGAACTATAATTTAAGCAGGGTTCGCTACCCTACAAATACGCCACTCACATATGTTTTTTCTTGTGCTTTAATTTTTTTTCTTCTCGTATCAGTCTTATTATAACCTCTATTAATCGTTATTTCTGAATCATTGTCATTTTCAAAACATAAAAAATTAAATCATTTTTATTATAACTCTTTAAGAACATCCCTTCGCCCTTCTGAAATAACAACTTTTTGCTATATGTACTACTTTATCACAGTTAAAAACGTTTTACACCTAAAGACCTTCTTCTACTTTTATTTATAGATATTGCTTTTTGACCGCATTGGAAATCTTTTCTGTCAGCTCTTGATATTCTTTATTCTTTCTTTCACTCTCTTCTTCCTCTTCAACTTTTAGAGACATTTTTCTATTAGCTCTTGTAACTTTTCTTCTTAATTCAAATTTTGTGATCAGTGGCATATTTATGCCCGTTGGGCGTAAATATGCCACTGATTGGTTTTTGGGCATAAAATGTTACAAAAAAAAAACAAAAATGAGAATTAATTAACGTACACTATTTTTGTGTTTGAGAGAAATATAATAGCAAAAAATCGTCTACTTGCGGTGTCATCATAGCTTTGAAACTTTTTATTTATTATGAAGTGGCACTTAATCACAGTATTAAAGCACTTAAGGAGAGAATTCCCGCAAATAAAACCGATGCCATATGTGTCGGTGAATTTAAGGAGAACATTAGAAAAGCTTTGCTTGTGTTATAGAGAATAAAAAAGCTTTAACTTCGTTACCAATAATCTGTGATAATGTTGCTTCTAATAGTAAAATACATACTGATGAGCATAAAAGCTATTCTGTGCTTAACAACATGGGATTTGTTCATGACACGGTCTGTCATAAGTATACTTTTATAAACTCAGAAACTAATGCTAATACGCAGGATGTGGAGGCTTTTAACAATTCGCTAAAGTAAGACATAAAAAAAGAAAAGGAGTAAAAAAAAAGCTTATACAAAAATTTTATAAATAAATTTAGCTGGAAATTTAATGATACAGTAGGCGGGTTTGAAATGATAATATCAATTGTTTAATTTAGATTTTATTATTATTATTTTTTAAAAAATTAGATTTTACTCCATTGAAAAAACATTTTTATGCCCGGTGGGCATAAAAATGCTACTGATCTAAATTTCGTACCATATAAACTTTTAATGCTCTGCTTGCTCTTTCAAAAATCTCTTTTCTTCAAAACCCATTTCGACCATCTCAATGTCAAATGCATACATAACAATTTCCAGCTCTCCTAATAGTCTTTTAGCCTCTAGGCCACAGTCATTATTAGACAACTCTATTGTTTGTATCGCCCCCATATTAGTCTTAACCATTGTCGAGAAACAAATAATATTTTATTTTATAAATTTTTAATAATATTATGACCCACGCAGGGAAAAAGCAAATCAAATAAAAGTATTGTTGATAACCTTAATTGGGGTTTAATAAAGTAATATAACATATAATGTGGCTAATATTTAGTTATAATTTGATCTGGGCTTGTTTGGTATTTTTTGATAAATCTTTTGCTTTTAAAATATTTAAGAAAGGATTTAAAACTTTAAAAAAATCTAGCCCATAAAATGAAAATAACAATTAAACATAAGATCTTTAGCAATGGAGAAAAATCATTAGATTTTTTAATGAACCATATTATTGAAGAATTTATATATTGTAATAGTTGCAGTACTCCTTGTAAAATTAAATTATTAAATATAGATAGTAATAAAATTATATATAGATGTACGAAGCGTGGGTGCAAGAGACGACATTCGACCTTTCATTCGACCCTTCCTCAAATCAAAATATTTGGATTGGTGTGGTTATTTCCCCCCAGGGGGAAATAACTGCGATATAATTTTTTACTCTTATATGAGAAGAGGTTTTTCCAATTATTGGTACTGATATAAATTGTACTATTAACTTTCTCAAATCCTCAGAATTAATCAAAATGAGCATGTGTTGTGTTCATTGCTCTAAAGGTATGGGTTAGCGAGCTTGTTTTAAGACCAAAGACAAAATTTGTTTGGAAGTGCAGAAACAAACAATGTCTTAAGTTTAAAACTACACTTTCAATCAGAAACGATTCGTTTTTTGAAAAAAAACAAGAATTGATTTACAAATGAGAGTAAACGCCATTTATCTTTGGAGCATAAACACTTCGCATAAAAATATTGACGTCTTAACGCGACTAGGACACGATATGGTAACTGACATGTGCAGAAGTTTTAGAAATGCATGTGTAGAGTTCTTTATTAGAAATCCAATTTTCCTTGGTGGTCCTGGCATTATATACCAAATTGATGAAAGCTTGTTTGTTCACAAGCAAAAATATCATAGGGGACGAACGTCAGAACATCAAGTCTGAGTTTTTGGGATAGTTGATACAAGTTATGTATCGACATGAGGATACATGGAGATTGTAGCCCGAAAAGACAAAGCTACCCTCCTTGATATTGTTCGAAGAATATACTTGCCTGGTACGATTATTTATTCAGATCAATGGGTTGCATATGGGGATATTACAGGCTTAGGTTTTCAACATTATACAGTAAACCAGTTCTTAAATTTTGTTAATTCTGAAAAGAGTGTTCATACGCAACATATCAAATCGTATTGGAATAAGAATAAAATTTATATCAAAAAAATGAAAGGCGCTAAAAAGGAAGACTTAAATTAATATCTTGCTGAATATATGCGGCGTGAAGGATTTAAAAATAACGAGTTTTTTAAAAATTAGAATGTTTGACTGAAATGAATGAAAATGATTAAATTTCTTAATTATTTTTTTATTTTTTTTCTGGAGAGAAATAACCGCACCTGTTCAAAATATGCTTAATTAATATTTAAAAATATCTACCCGTCAAGAAAAAGTTTCATGTGGTAATTTAATCACGATTTTCTTTACTTGGCGTTTTTGCCTACATTTTTTTAACTTTGTAAAATGTCTTTAAAATTTTTTTTTATTTTATTTACCCTTTTTTTTTATATGGAAATCAAATGCAAATGTAGGTAAATTCGCTTAAAAGATCCTTTGGGGTTTCAAATGAATAAGCGGTGGTAAAACGAACCGTAAACATCAAAAAAAACAGATTGACTTTTTATATTTTTTAATTTTCAAAAACAGCTATAATTAACACCAACCATGTTTTTTCTTTTATTAAATAAATTCAACTATGGTTTTCTTTGCTTTTACTTACATTTTTTAATAAGCTTTTTACAAGATCGTGGTTTGGACATGATTTTTTAAAATATTATGATTTAGACTCGATCTTAAATTTTGGATCAAGTCCATTATTCGGCCCCGTAAAAAGAAAAAAATTAAAACTCAAAAAATTTAATTATAGATGTAAATTTATCGTCCGAGTGGCGCCTCCTATACATAAACCCTTGTATAAATACTTTTCTTTGTTTTAAAGTTAAACCCTTCATTTTTTTAATTGCCAATTTTAGTTTGTTGTTATAAGACTCTACATTTTGAGTACGTGTGACGGTATTACGATCAACAAAGCAGTATTTTTGACAACTTGTTTGATGCTGATATGTATTTGATTCGTTTAGTGATGAATAAGACTTCCATTCATCTGTTACTATAATACTCCTAGGAATTACAATCTGATTTATTATAGATAGTAATACCTCTGCAGAAAGATTTTCAACAATAATAGAATAACCCAAAGCTAAAACAAAAGAAGTATCAACAATTGCTAAACCCTAGTACACAGGTATACGTCGACCACGATGATTTTTTACATTGAAATTTAATTTCGTCTCGTAGACTTGCACGACAATGTTGAAGCCGCCAAGTTTAATAGGATGATCTACAAAATATTGTTTAATTTTTGAGCCTATAATCTTTTAAAGCCAATAACGGCCCCTTTTTACTCTGCGCTAGCTCTAAAATAACTGTAACTCAAGGCCTAATGAAAAATAATAGATGGACTTCAGAATTGTTTAAAGATTAATTCTAAATAATGAAAGAATTGAACCATGTCTCATAAACAAAGTGGTTTGATATTTGATACATGCATATTGCATGCATCTCCACTCAAATTCATCTATATGCCGTTTACTAATCTTGAAGGCGATA